CTTTGGTCACCTCTCACTATTATCACCCCGTTCTCAATTGGGAGCTTTATGCATAAGTAGTGGATGGAAGTGACGGCTCCTAACTCCTTTGGGGCTGGCTTGCCCATGACTCCGTGGTAAGCCGATCGACTGTCTACAACAAGGAATTCCACGAAGTTCATGGTGGTTTGAAGGGACTCTCCCATTTCTACTGCCAATGTTATCTTTCCTTTCGGAGTGATACTATCCCCAATAAATTTGTATAGAGGAGTGGTGGTGGGCGTCAATTCGTGGTCCAGGATTATCTTATCGAAGGTAGATCCGAATAGGATGTTAACGGAGCTGCCGTTGTCTACCACCATTTTCTTTAGCCCATTTCGGGCCACCACAGCCCTTACTACAAGTGCATTACAATGAGGTAATGAACCCCTTCAGAGTCCTCTTAGGTGAAGACGATGGATGGTACTTGGTTTCTTCGGGAGCTACTGTCCGCGATATAACTGGTCAGTGGGAGGCGCTTGGCCTCTCGGGCGTAGTTTCATTTTGCGTTTCGAGTCTCCCCCACTTAAGGGCCTCCAAATATGGTGTCTATCTCATAAATAAGGGCCTCCTTTTGTGCATGGCGGTTCCTACGATACCTGTGTCCCTCCCTGGGTCTCTCTGCTCGACGAAGAGATACATCTCGCTGGCGGGGAGCAGCCTCCTCATGCCTAGGTCGCTGATCGTTCCTAGGCGGGGGCCTGTTCGCCTGTGGCGAATCATTCCTCCTATCTTGGGGGTTTTTCCATTAATTCCGATATGCGTACTTCTGGCACTCAGACGTGTCATGACCGTAGGAGCAGTGATACGTACAATAATCGGGGGAGTTCTGATTAGGCCTATTCCTAGGTCCTGAATTGCGCCCCCGACCTCTATCTCTACGGAGGGCCTGTTGTGAAGTTCGTGCTTGCAGGTCGGTAGTTGTTGGATTGACATCTTCATATACCAAAGTTGGAATTGCGTTCAAAGTAGTGGTGACAAGTGCTTCCCTGAATTTCCATTCCCAGGTGGGTTTTATCTGGTAGTCCATCAGGTGGGATGTCGGTCCCCTCTCGCGCTGTCTTTGTTGAGGTGGGAGGCCTCCGCTGGCCCGATTTTGATGCTCAATTAATTCTTCATTAATAATCTCCCACCTCATCATTTTCAACAGGGCGTCTTAGGTGGTGGGATCTTGGTTTTGCACGTCCCTACAGAACAGGGTGTTCATATTCAGACCTCCTCTTAGGGCTGACAAAGCTTCATGATCGGTGACTTGCACACAATACATCATTTTGTCGGTAAAACGTGATAAAAAGCTTTTCAGGGATTCTCCATGTGCCTGCCTCATGTCTTGAAAGCGCTGAATGGGGGTCTTTCCCTCCTGTCTCACCGCAAACCTTTTTAGGAAAGTGGTCTTGAATTCTGGCCAACTCCTTATGCTCCTAGGCGATAGCCGACTATACCAGATTTCAGCCGCTCCACTAAGCGTCAAATGAAAAGCTCTACACTTCACAGTTGGGGTGGCGCCTCTAAGGCTCATATGAGTTTTATAAGTGCTTAGGTATTTTTTCGGGTCCCCTCTCCAATCATACTTTGGTATCTTAGGCATTTCTTAGTTCCCTTGAGAATGGCAGATTTTCATCGTCATCGTCCAAGTCACGGGACCTTTGCTGCTCATCTGAGTCATTATTTTCCTCGACTTCATACCTAGGTATTTGATGAGAGGGTCCAGCTTGGGTCCTAGCATCCTCTTCCCTCCTTTGGCGCCTATTTCTAGGCAGAGCAATACATGGGGCATTCTCATGCCTTTCCTCCGGCTGATAAGACATCGAAGGTGGGGGCTGTGGTCTATTCCGAGGCTCGCGTTGTTGTTGCTGTTGTCTGTGTCTCGGTTCTGCAGGGCTAATTCTGTCAAAGACGCTGTTAGACTTCCTAGGTCTTTGTTCTAGCTCATATGCTGGTAGAAAGTTGTCCTGGCTATGCCGAGCCTCTGTGGGTCGGCCAGTAGCATAATTGGAGGAAACATGAACTTCTACTTTACTCTCCATGGGGCTCCTGCCTTGGCTGTATTCTGCCAGTACGACCCTTTGGCTTTGAACTTCCTCATCTTGGTCATAATGTTCTTGGGGTGCATAGAGAGGAATGGGAAAGCCTCCCTGGCTCAGCTGGGCCATGAGTTCCCTCATGGTCATGTTTTGACTAGCAATGTCCCTCATGTTTGCGGTCATGGAGGCCATTTCCCTTGACAATTGAGCGGCCATCCGCATGCCACCTCTTCTGTGGTAGTGGTGAGGTCGATACCGGGCTGCAGGGGCAGTTGCCGATCGGCATTGGTCGATGGGGGCATTCCTACATTTTCTCTTAGCCTTCTAGGGAGTACATCCTCTTCTGAACTTATTCTCTTCTGTTCCGATCTCAGATTGTTGCTAAGTTGTGGGACTTCCACTTATTCTTTTGCAAGAACAAATCCTTTTTCAAGGGGGATGCCCAAATATTCTTTTCAATAAGCTTCTTCCACACGGTTGCTCGTGGTTATATTATGATTTTTCACAGACGGCGTCAATATGTTGACCCCAAAATATGTTGCTAACAAATACCGGACCCACCCGCGTACACGTAAGCCTGATCCAACATGGTAAGACACGTTGACGGTCTAGAAATAATAGTAAAAGGGGACGTGAGAGTGACTCAAAGGCACGGGACAAGAACGTTCGAAATGCGGCGAAACGTTTGCATAACGATTGTACAATAATTACTAATCGATGTTTTAGAATGCGAGTATGAATTCGTGTATGTTGCAAGAGAGTAAAATGTAAAGAATGTTATATTTGTTCTTGTGTTGAATCTTGCATTACCCTTGTGAGAGATACGTATGGAGTATCTATAGTATTACAACTTAGATCGTGGCCCTTGGTTGGGAGTACACGTGGCCTAATCTCGTAAGTTTACATGTCCAATTATAGGTGTCCCATTTGATTTCCTAGCCTGTTATACATTAATTAATTGACGGCTCTGCCACTACGTTGACAAGACAAGACACTTGTGCTCTATGATGGGTATCCCATCAATTACTCAGGGAGGATCCTTGTGTAAGACCGGATCTCTAGGGAGCAGTGCTACTTAGAGCCTCAGGACCTCGGATAGAAGGACCTTGGTTACGAGATCTCCTCGGCGTATTAGCTTCGGTGGCAACACTTGGACCACATCTGGTGCTGTTTTAATATGCTGGTGTTCTTGTTGGGATGTGTTGTTTTAATGATCCTATATATGTTTTGACGTGAAATTTTAGACTGATATTTATAATTTAATTTATTCAATATATGATTTTTTTTCTTTGCAAAACCGTAATTTTAAATCGAACCAAATCTAAAAGAGTGATTTGAACTAGAATTTGAAGTAGTTTGATTTTCAAATGTCAAAAATTGAATTATATCCACCCCTACATATTGACAAGGAGATTAAAAAAAAGGTTAAACCCCAACCCTGAGAGTCCCCCACCGCCTCTCCCCTGGAGCATGGTGAGGGAGGTTAATCGCGGGATGTACCCTAACAGGTCAGAGAACAAGAGCTGCATGTACATTGATGCTCACAAAGAGTCTCAGTCCATGTTTTAGGAATCGAACCTTCACACTGCGGCTGCCAGCAAGGTTTAGTATACCTTACCATTGTCCTTTGCACCACTGAGATATACCCCGAGGGATATCATCAATATTGAAAAAATCTTTTGGGTTAAATTTTTTGGGAATAAACGTGATTTCTTGCAAAAGGATGATGTATTTTGGAAGATGTAGTTCATAATATTGGAAAGATTATAAATATAATATTTATGTACATCAATTTTTTATTTATTTTGTTTTTAATTTGTGGGTTGTTTTTCAATATTTCAGTGTATATATCATCCCCCCTCCCCCCTCCTTTTGATTATTTATTGGGTTTAGTTTTCGAAAGGGCTATATTATGTGAGTTGGGCAATAGGATTTATTTTTTCCTCTTAATTTCTTTAAACTTTTATTAAAAAGGTTTTGTCTAAAAATCTTCTTAAAATTGTTAGAGAAAAAAAAAACATGGATGGTGAATTGGTGATCCTCTAATTATAGGGTCTTGTGCATAGCACCTCTCCCACGGCTTCAGAACCTTCCCTTCAGGCTTCATATACGATTTGGGAAAATGTCAAAGTGTCCGAATTTTGGTGAACGATCGTCACATGGAGCGTGGACCCCGCGTGAATAAAATAATGTCCGACCCCTGAGGTGTGAGTGTTCGATCATCTCGCATGTCAACAATTATGTTTATGTAGTATGGTCCTACTTTTTTGGAATGTTGAATACGCAGCAAAGTTGGATTTGCCACAATAAAGGAGGCTCTATTCTTCGCCTCCAACGTTGGTTCCAATGTAGAAATGATCCTTAATGTTCGATTATTGGCACCGACATCTTTAGCCTGTGTTTTAGTACAATATTTATTATTTTATGATGAAAAAGATCAATATGCCTTGCAAAAGGTACAAATAGGTCCTGTACCTTTATTTATTTATTTATTTTATAAGAAATTTAAAAAATAACAATTTATTTATTTATTTATTATATTTTTGGAATGAAGACTTTATTGACCGAATTGATTGATAATATGCATAATCTTTTTTTATATTCTACGAACTATTATGAAATAATTTACATTTAGGATGGTTATAAATTAACTAACGTGTTAAAAAATTATTATTTTTATTACTAAGTAACTACACACTCTGCATCTGCACAAAGCAATGTAGAATTATCATAATGTACATGCAGAATTATCCTTCTGCATTTATACTTATCTTCAATTCCCCGACCGAAGCATTTTGTCTTGTACATTATGGTATCCATAAAGGTGTCCATAATTTACAAGTGGCATAACATCTCTGGAGGTTGAAAATAAATTTTTTTAACCTTCCAATCATTGAATTCCACATATATATTATAGACACTCTTATGGATACCATAATATACATATAAAATTATCCAAATATAAATTAGTCTATCGTTTATTCATTAATTAAGATATCACTAAAGAACAAGAGACATAAAGGGAAGACCAAAAATCACACCCTCCAATGGAGCTGCATGTCTGTGATGATTTGACGAAGTTCAGAAGTCTCTTCTTTAAGCTGAGCATTTTCTTGTATAGCTTGATCATGGCTCTCCGAAACCTGGTTCAGTTTGTCTATCAGTTGATGATTCTCAGCTCTGAGCCGGACGACCTGCGAACAAAGCTCGTCAAGGTGCCTTTGCTTCCTCATACGTGATCGCCGTGCAGATTCTCTGTTTGAAATCATTCTTCGTTGCTTCCTCTCGTTTATTATCCTAACCTGTTGCTCGTTAGCTTCATCCGAAGTCGAGTTACATGTCGACTGGAGATTGAATTCTTGAACTTGGGGAAGTTCATACAAATTGTTAGATAATCCGTTAAATTGATATGCTGGTGTGGTGTTGTGGATTAGGCCAAAATGAGAAGGGTATTGGTTTAAGTTTGAAGAAAGTAGATATTCGAGTTGCGTTAACTCAGCGGGTTCCATTTTTTCGACTAGTATTGGGTTGATAGGAAGGCAGAAGCTTTGGATTGATTGGCTGTGTTGGAGTTTTCAGGTAAGTACAAGAAGTTGGTGGTGGAAGGCGAAGAAAAACCAAAGAGATGGGCTTATTTATATGGTGGAAAAGGGTATTGTGGCCCCCATTATATTATTTTAGAGCAACTGTAGAACTCCTTAAAGCCGTGATTACTGTTATGCATTCTATTATTTGATTTACTTTTCTCAATAACATTCAAAATATCAATGTATACGAGTTAGTTCAATATTATATTGTTCGAGAAAGTTGAGGTTCAAAGTTCAAGCCTCCTTTTGAATATAAATCGAACGTTAATTTCAACAATACGTTCATAATTACTGCTCATTATTATTCATAATTTGCGGAGACCAAGTTTTTTGGTCACCCATTTATGCGTCTAAATTTTTAATAGTTCAATAGAATTAGTAAAAAAATTGTCGTATATATATAATTTTCCGCGTATCTTGCAATAGTTTATTGTAATAATCTTTGAAAGTTTTTAGTTTGAGAGAACTTAGTGTAATTCATCTCATAGAACGAGTGAAAAATGACCGTATATCCAAATAATTTTCCATGAGACGGGTTTTGATATTAATCACACAACTTGTTATATTTTTACTCTATGATGTGGTGAGGAAGGGAAGGTGATGAGATATGGATATGTACTTTGAAATGCAGTCTTCCACTAAAGAAAATAATTTGATAATGCATCAAGATGCAGAAACTCTATGGAAGCTAATGTTTCTCCTGCATATTGGGTCAGGTTAAGTGGACTCAATCTTTGGTCATCAATATAATTAGACAGATATTGACTCCTCTTTCTTTTCTTGTCTCTGAGATATGTTTTAATTTTCTCTTATTCACAAAATACTTACAATTTTTTCAAGTCAAAGTGTTTTCTATTTGAGGATTTGGAGTTTTTTGTCATTTGTAATTGTAGAGATGCTTTTAGATTACCAATTTTTACCAATCCAATTTCGAGAGAAACTATTCATAATTCTATTTGAGGATTTAGAGCACAATTTAAGAAAACCATACAGAAGTGAATTGTGAATGGTAGTTCTTGGTATTGGATTGGTGATAAATGGCAATCTAAAAGCATCCCTACAAGTACAATAGACAAAAAGGTGTATTGATTAGTGAATTCAACTAAATTAATCATCTTTAGTACAAAGTTAATATATAGAAAAAATTATATGGTATCTTATAGTATTTTCTTGATTTTCGATTCATCTGACATGATATCAGTTTAATTAGACTTTAGGTTAAACTTTTGATTCTTTTATTGATTTTTTTTTCTTTTGTAGTTACCTATTTAGTTATGAATAGGTTCGTTCATTTTGTGATTCATGGACACAAAAGTAATAAATTATTTTATTTTCTTTTCTTTCATCTTGTTTAATGATAAATAATAATAGGAAAAGGAGGAGATAAAATATAAGATCTTGTTTAATGATAAATAATAATAGGAAAAGGAGGAGATAAAATATAAGATCTTGTTTAATGATAAATAATAATAGGAAAAGGAGGAGATAAAATATAAGATCTTGTTTAATGATAAATAATAATAGGAAAAGGAGGAGATAAAATATAAGATGAACTCAACCTTTTGGTGCTCATTGGATGCATGCAAATTTCTCTTTCAATATACTTTAGTCGATACTGATAGAAACGAACGTAAATGTTTCACATTCATTACACGTCTTGTTAACGACAAAGTTATCGAATGGAATTAAAATTATTTGCTTTTAGCTGCTTTAACTTGTACTCCTAAAGCACTGGTATATATTCGTGACTCGTGTCTTGTGAATAACAAACTGATTGCAACCACTAAAAACCAACAGTTCTACGAAATTGAAAGACTAAGTACATCAGACGGTTCATTTTTTTTTCATTAAAATTCTATTGATCTCTTTTGATTAATCTACTTTATTAGCTTTTCCTTTTAAGTAGCCCAAAATTAATTGATCTGAGATAGGGATGCTGATTTCATAGTCCAACGAATCTTATATTATTCTTACCCTTTTTGCTATCTTTTTGACCAAGTTTGGAAATCCAATTTTATTGATAGCTTAGCTACAAACTTTAATAGGCCGCTGTCTTTTCCATTACTTTATTTCTATTGTTTTTTGTAAAAGGAGTATTAGTGCTTATTTCACTATACATAAAGCTGGGCAATGGGAGGAATTCTCAGAAAGAAATAAACTGAACAAAAGCCTCTAATCTTTTCCGGGGCTAATGTAAATTATGGTCTATTCATTGATCGTCTTTCCTTTGTCTTCTTGACCGCCTTTTTAAGGATTTTAACCATTGATATGTGCACAAAAACAATTATTGCTTTAAAAGTTGCTTTTTAGGAGTAATTTTAATAGAATTCTGCACGAATAGTTTTCGTTCCACACTCAAAAGAGCACTTGGATACTTATTAAATTTTTCGTGTCATTTGAATCAGGAGATTTTTAGTTTGGTAACATTCCTCTATCGAAGTCGAACAGTAGATTTTTTAATACTGATTACGTATCTCCAATCAAGACATTAATTCAATAAGGTGATGACTATATTAAAAGAAAATTATAAAAAAAATACTGTCATCT